CAAGCCAGCTGGACTTCACAGGACAGGGTACTGGAGAGGACGGGACACAGGAAGAGAACACACTCTGGAAATTTGCAGAAGGTCCTGGGAAAATCCATGTAATGTCACATCAGGCAAAGTTTTCTGAGCTACAACACCCAAAGCACTATCCATAAAAGAAATCAATAAAGTTGACTCCATCAAAAGAATTTATGCTAAAAGATGCCTTTCAGAAATCAAAAAGAGGCCAGGCACAGTGATTCACGCTTGTAATTCCAGCACTCTGGGAAGCCAAGGTGGGTGGATTGCTTGAGTTCAGGAGTTAGAGACCAGCCTGAGCAAGGGTAAGACCTTACTTAAAATAGAAAAAAATAGCCAGGCATTGTGGTGGGCACCTATAGTCCCAGCTGTATGGAGGCTGAAACAAGAGGATCACTTAAGCCTAAGACTTTGAGGTTATTGTGAGCTACTATGATGCCACAGAACTCCAGGTGACCAAATGAGACTTTCTTGAAAAAGAAAAAAGAAAAGAAAAGAAAAAGGCACACCACAGCCTGGGAAAAGATATTTCTGAGGCACATACCTGGTTAGGGACTTGTTTCTGGAATATATGAAGATTTCTCCAAATAATGAGAAAACAAAAAAGAAAATGAGCTACAGATCTGATAGTCTCCTTCACCAGAGATGACATACGGCTAGCAAAGGAGCACATGAAAAGAAGCTCGACATCCTCAGCCATGAGGGGAATGCAGAGAAAGCCACAGGTCCTACTACGCACTAGTAGAATGGCTGGAATTGAAAAGTCTAACCACACCGAGCGCTGGTGAGGAAGTGGAGAAGCTGGAACTCTCCTGTGCTACTGGGAAGAATGCAAAATGGTGCCATCACTTTGGAAAGCAGTTGAGCAGTTTCTGAAAAAGTTAAACATTCCCCTACTGTATGATCCAGCCACTCCTACGTAGTTATCCAAGAGAAATGAAAAAGCACATGCCCAAACAAAGACTGGGACACGGGTGTTCACAGCGGCTTTCTGTAATAGCCACCATTGGAAACAGCCCAAATGTCATCGCAGGTGAGCAGATAAACAAACTGGAGCACATCCAGACTGTGGAATGGTCCTCAGAAATAAAAGAAAGAAACTCAATCTACCCTACAACAGGGATGAATCTCGGAATAATTACACTGAAAGAAAGAAGCTGAACAAAAAAGTATAGGCTTTAAAAACAAATTCATGTTACATGATCCAGTTTATGTAACATTCTAGAAAATGCAAACTAATCAAAAGTGACAAAAAGACTCTCAGTAGTTTCTAGGGACAGAGGCAAGACGAGAGGATCACGAGAAGACTTCTGCGGGTGATGGATACGTTCATCAGCTTTACCATGATGATGGTTCCATGGATGTATATGTGGGTCAGAAATTATCAAATTGTACATGTACACCTTGGCCAGGTGCAGTGGTTCATGTCTGTAATCCTAGAACTTTGGGAGGCCAACATGGGAGGATCGCTTAAACCCAGGAGTTTGAGACCAGTGCAGGCAACCCAGTGAGACCCTGTCGCTACAAAAAAAAATTTTTTTTTCTTTCTTTTTGAGACAGAGTTTCACTATGTCAACCTCCGTAGAGTGCTGTAACGTCACAGCTCACAGCAACTTCAAACGCTTGGGCTTAAGCAATTCTGTTGCTTCAGCCTTCCAAGTAGCTGGGGCTCCACATGCCTGCCACAACGCCTGGCCATTTTTTTGTTGCAGTTGTCATTGTTGTGTTAGCTAGCCCAGGCCAGGTTTGAACCCACCAGCCTTGGTGCATTTGGCCAGTACTCTAGGAAGGGGGAACAGGGCTGAGCCAGGAGGACCACCCTGATTTGAGGAGCTGGGAATCTGGGGAGACCAAGCCAGCTGGACTTCACAGGACAGGGTACTGGAGAGGACGGGACACAGGAAGAGAACACACTCTGGAAATTTGCAGAAGGTCCTGGGAAAATCTATGTATGTCACATCATGTATGCCACTGAGCTATAGGTGCCAAGCCTCTACAATTTTTTTTTTTTAATTAGCCAGGAATGGTGGCATGTGCCTGTAGTCCCAGTTACTCAGGAGGCTGAACCAGGAGGATTGCTTGAGGCCAGGGGTTCACAGATACAGTGAACTGTGATTGCACCACTGCATTCCAGCCTGGAACACAGAGCAAGACCCTATCTCTTAAAAACAAAATGTATACCATAAACATGTGCCATTTATCACACGTCAACTAGACCTCAACAAAGCTGGTTTATAGAAAGCAGCACTAATTGGCGCTGTCAGAAGTCAGCACAATGGTCACCCCCAGTTAGGGGTGGCTGTTAACTACGAGAGGAAGGTAAAACAGAGGACCCCTGGGTGCCAGGAGTGCCTGGGTGCTGGTGACACAGGTGTGCAGAGCTGGTGGCCGTGCATCAAGCTGTTCACACACAACTTAGGGACCTCCGATCTGTAGGTTATACTTCAATAACCAGTTTTTCAAAATAAAGCAGCCTAAAAGCTGACTACTGAGACCTGGCCAGCAATTCATTAACTTGTTTCCACAAAGAGTGGGCAGGCCAAAGCTCACTGCCGCCTGGAGGGCCCAGTGCAAAAACCCAAGTCTGACAGGTGGGTGCGCTCGGGGAGCAGGGGCTGCGGCCCATCCCTTACCTTCTGCTGTAGGCCCTTCATCTTCCTGTCCCTCTCTTCTGGACACACAGGGCTGCCTGACTGTGGTGCTGGCCCCGGCCCCGGGGGCTTGTCTGGCCCAGCCTCTCTCTCCTCTTCCTGTGCCCAGAATGACTTCCCACCAAACAGCCTGCTAGCGACTTTCTCGGCATTTTCCAGACGGAGCCCCAGCTGGGAAGGAAAGCCAGGGGTCAGAGCGCACCCCCCAGTCACTCGGGTGATCAGGAGCAGTGGGGCAGGTGTACTGGGGGCTCCTGGAGCCCACCTGGGCTCAAGTAAAGCAGCACAGCCATGGGAGACTCAGCAAACTCCATATCTGCATGGCAGGTGCCACACAGTCAGAATTCCTGCTGATTCTTTGGGGCTTGGTTCAATATCACCACCCCTAGGAAGCTTTCCCTGAATTCCCACGGCACTCTCTTCCCACCTGCTCTGCCACACACACAGCAGATGCTAATTTGTGTGTCTAGATGAGGGCAGGGACTTGTGTTTTTAATTTGTGTGTCTAGATGATTACAGGGACTTGTATTTTGTTCTCCAAGGACCCTGAAGGCCTGACCTGCTGGGTTCTCAGTTGGATAGACAGCTGAATGCACCCTTCCTTCTGTCCCTTCTTCCTGCCATCTGCCCGTCCACACACCCCTCTGCCAACCCATCCTTGCATCCCTCCCATCCCTCCGCCCACCTGCCTTTCCATCTTCTACCCATCCTTACTCCCCACCCCCCATCTCATTCATCCATTTACTTCTCCTTTCTTACGGGCATCTCTCCTTCCTTCTAACCATTCTTCCTCCCCTCCTCCTATCCAGATCTCTCCGACAGCACTGGAGAGAAATCCCCAGAGGTCAGTCCTTGGCAGATCTATGCTGGTCCCCTGCCTCACTGGCAAAGTTTGGGAGATGGCCCCTGCTCTCCAAAATTAGAAGAGGTCAGGAGAGGGCACAGAACACTGTCCTTCAGAAGAGCTCCACAGGCCTGAAGGAAGATGAAGGGCCCCACGGTAATCTACTGGCTGGACAGAGGACACAGGAGTGTCCCCTACCCCACAGTTTCCCCCACAATCCATGTTCCACCCAACATGCTCCCCACCCTAACCCTCCCTGCCACCCCTGCCCTCTGACCTCACCGTCTCCTCCACACCCAGCCTTTCCTTCTCTTGGCATCTTGACACTTCCTGGTCCTTCCAGGAAGGCTCCTCCCTCCCCTCTGCACATGTTGTACCCGTGCTCCTCCCTCAGGTCTCAGCTCTAACTCCTCCTCCCTGGATGCACTACTGAAGGTCGTCATTGCTTATCAATGTGCCTATTCATTTCTTATCTCCCTCCCTCTCTGGGCTGTGAGCAGCTCCAAGAGGCCAGGGTCTCTCACACTCATCACTGCCCCCAGCGCCCAGCACCATGCCTAGAACATGTCAGGCAGCTGGTGCTTGGTCTTGCAATGGATGGGGGGAGGGAGGATGGAGGATGGGTAAATCAGAGGATGGGTTGATGGAGGGAGGTGTGAGGGATGAGTGGCTGTCACAGCTCTCAGCCACAGATGAACAGATGGGCGAGGTGGTAGGAGAGTAGATGGAGAGATGGGTGGGAGGGCATATGGATGGATAAATAGATGGACAGATGGAGGGACAGATGGGAGGGGAGGTGCATAGATAAATGGATGGGTAGGTAAGAGGGCTGGACAGAGGAACATGAGTGGATGGATAGACATGTGGATGTATCTATGGGTGGGTGGGTATGTGGGTAGGTAGTGGGGAAAATGGATGAGTGGATGGATATAGGGACTGGAAGTAGAACAATGGAGGCAAGGGATGGGTGGATAGATGAGCGGATGGAATAATCCAGGACAGATCCTGGGGTGACTACAGCAAGGCCCTCCTCTTACCTCTAGGAGGCTGAAGGCACGACCTATGACATGGATGGTCAGGTTGGCGGTGGCAGAACGAGGAAGGAAGGAGGCAGGAGAGAAGAGAAGGGTCCTCTCCAGGTTGGCTCCCAGGCTGCCAGTCGCTAGGAGAAAGGAAAGAGGGTCGGTCCATTCTGCACCCCTCACACAGCACAGGTCCAGCTATGAGGGGTCACACACCTAGTGCCTCCTTCTGGGGTGGGAAACAGCCTTAATCCTCTCAGGACAGAGCGAGGCCAGAGGGCCACACTCCTGCCTGCATCCCGTGCCCAGAGCTCCCCCTCACCAACAGGCGGCCAAAATGGCTGGGGTGACTTAGGGACCTTAGCTAGAAAGAGATTCCCATTTGGAGTCTCTGTTTAATCACAACAAAGAGGCAGTCTCAGGATGGGGCTAATCTCCCTTTTAATACACAGAAAACCAGTTTTCAAGCTGCACAGCTCTCAGCCCACAACACAGTCCAGGAGAATTACTAGGATAACGCAGTGTCATTACTGCTTCTGGTTGTACAGCATTTCTTTTCAGGATTGCCTTCTCTTCACAGAGAATTAAATTGATTTTCTATTAATGGTAGGGAGAGGACATTCCCTTTTTAAAATAAGCTAAAAAGAGCCAATTTTGGAAAAGATGGAAGAATTCAGCCGAATGCTATAAAACACCTATTTGAGTCTCTTTTATCTTTTCCAATAAGAGCAGCAGGTGACACGGAGATAAAGCAAAATGTCAAGCAAGTGCTGTATAAATAGTTCACCCTTGGGTACAACATCCTTCAGGAGCTGGAATTCGGGTCCCCAAGGCTTTGTGGCCCCAGAAGAGGACAGAGGCTGCCCAGGACAGCCATACCTGAGCGGAAAGTGACATCAGAATAGGACGAGTGTTTCCATGTCTCTGGATGGAACTCTTGGCTGAGGATGTCTTCAGGGAGGATGTCTTGGAGGGCCCGTTTCAGTGGGTCATTTGTCTCCATCAGCTGTAGGAGGTGACTCCACACAAAGGAGCCCACTGCAGCGAGTCACAGCCAGCAGGGACAGGGCTGTGAGGATCAGACCTGGAGAAAAGACTTCCCGACCCCCACCCCTGGGCCCTGCTCTTCCCATAGGCTGGGTGGTTC